AATGGAATTTCATGGAAAAACCAACTGCGATCTATACAGACAGTCAGTCATTGATCAACTGGATCTCCAGCCCTAAACAAAGCAGTCGCTGTAGACATATCAACAGAAAGTACCACTTCTTGAGAGACTGTTATGAATCCAGAGACATCTGCCTTCTGTACAAGCCATCCCAGGACCTGGAGGCGGATATCTTCACAAAGGACCTATCCCAAGACCAGATGAAGAAACACCTGGCGAACCTCAGCATCGTGGGAATAAAGACAAAGTAAGGAGGGAATTGTTACGCAAACTTTGACTTTAATCATCATCGATGCTACGTCACTACTATTACGACACTTCCAACTTCTACCTTTAACTGTTATGTTTATCGCTAGCTTGTTTTAACAATATATGTAATGGAACAAGTCGTTCCTTAAATAAATATATATTTGTTTATATCTGCAGGGATGTCCTCGTAACTACAACATACGTGAGTACAAAAACAACTTAAAATCCTTAGAAAGAAACATCGTATTTTGCTAAGCCTATATCAAAAACTAACCTTATTTGGCGATTAAACTAACCTAATTTAACCTATCTAAAACTAACCTATTTTAATTAATGAAATAACCTTTTTATAACACACCTTTAACTAACCTAATTTATAATCTATCAGAAACTAACCTAATTTATAACTTATATCTGAAACTAACCTATTTTACCTATTGGAATATGACATAACGTCATGTTATTAAAAATGTATTAGGAATTTTTTTACAAAGTTTATTAACCACATCTTATACAATATTTGTAAAATAAATCGAAAATTTGTGTATAAATATATGACTTGAAAATATGCCACTTAAAATATTTTAATCTAAACGATACCGAGATTTTTTTTATAGAGAGAAATAAAAAAAAATACATTATTTATGAGATACAAAAGTGTGAACCAGAAAGTCAATTTTAAAAAATGTTATTATTTAATATAAACCTTTTTTAATTTAATTTTGTAATGAAAAGGTAGTGTAAAAGTGTATATGAAGACCGTTTACACTTGCTCAAATATTATTTAGATGTAAAAACTCAATTTTTATATATAAACGGTAAATATAGATTGAAAAATATTAATTAACAAAAATATAGAGTAGGAAATATTTCAATTCTATAGTTATATTTATATAAATTGTTTAAATATAAAGAGGGGCACACAAAAAAAAGATTTTATGAGTAAAAAAAAACATTTTTAAAAATGAAATATTAAACTAATTATTCTAAAAATGAACATTATTTTTAAAAATTCTGAAACTAACCTAATTCAACTTATCTAAAACTAACCTTTTTAGTGATTGACTAACCCAATTTTATCCTATCTGAAACTAACCTAGTTTAATTAATGAAACTAACATTTTTATAACACACCTTAAACTAACCTAATTTATAACCTATCTGAAACTAACCTAATTTATAACCCATCTGAAACTAACCTAATTTATAACCTAGTTTCAGATGGAAACTAACCTAATTTATAACCCATCTGAAACTAACCTATTTTACCTATTTGAATATAACATAACGTCATATTATTAAAAATGTATTAAGAATTTTTTTACAAAGTTTATTAATCACATCTTATACAATATTTGTAAAATAAATATAAAACTCGTGTAAAACGCCTCGAAGGTACAGCGGTGGCAACGTTGTTGCCAAAGTTGTTTACTGGGAACGCTCCAAATAAGTTTATATAAAAATGGCATACCTGGATTTTTAAAGAAAAAAAAAAACAATCTTGTTTCAAAATATTTCGAGAGATCGCTCCTTTTTTTAACAATTAATTGCACAATAAGGTATTTTCCAAATTTATGTTTATAGACTTGGAACGGAAATATCTTTAGCAGGGTTGCTAACAAGAAAAGACTAGGAATAAGCTTTGTCATTGTTCAAAAATAATTTATGATCAAATTACATTCAAAATCAAAAATAAATTTGAAATAAAATAATTATTTTAAAATTGAAGGCTTTTGTGAAAACAGTAACGCAGTATGTTATATAATATATTTTAAACGAAACGAAAGAAAATGAAAAAAATAGAAACAAATTAAGTTGACTGGGATCATATTTAAAAAAAAAAAAAGGTTAAAAGAGAAACATGAGGTTTGGGATTTTTCATATCTATTCACGCTACTGTAGAGGCCACTCCTGCGGCCTCCACAAAGTGTACCCACAGTACCTAATAAAAAGCTGGTGGACAATGGTGAAGCTGCCTCGACAAAAACAAGCGGACTTAGAGAATTCTTCATTGTCAAACCATCCCATCTCTTCACCTTCTTTTACTCCTAATTTTTGTATATAATTTATAATCTATATATATAAAAATGAATGTATGTCTGTTTGTTTGTCCTTTATGCCTGACCAAACCACTCATTGGATCGCCATGAAACTTTGGGAAGTTATTTAGTATAGTACTGGGAAGGTTTCTAGCAAATAAAATTTTTGAAATAACTTTTCGCCTAGATATAATCAAGATAAATATTCTAATTTATCTGTTATAATTCAACAATCTGCTCTAAATATTATCATGATGATACGATGATTTTGTAATGTAGAAAATTAGGAAAGACAAAATTCAGGATGACATGGCAATTTATTTGAGACAAGAATAATGATACAATTCAAAGGCAAGATACTATTCCTTTAACTTCCAATTACCGAGGGAACCAATTAATATTGATTTTATTCAACTTATCGAGAATTTTTCAAGGGACCGGGAAAAATGTTCACTTACTTACTTTATGGGGAGATTGTTAAACAAACCTATACTCAGGGTAAAACCCTGGCGAAGCCGGGAATATCCATTTCGTAGCTTAACCCGTCTCTCCAAGAGGCAGTCTCTTATTAAAGGTCTATTAGAGATTCTTTAATAGCAATTAGAATCTTCAATGAGAGACCACCAACAGGAGAAACAAGTTGATTCATGTTTTTAGGTGGTCTTTCTTAAGAGACTCTATTTACATATATTAAAATATGAAAAAATTAAAATATTTTATCAAGATAAATATTCTAATTTATCTATATATATAAAAATGAATGTATGTGTGTCTGTTTGTTTGTTTGTTTGTCCTTTATGCCTGACCAAACCACTCATTGGATCGCCATGAAACTTTGGGAATTTATTTAGTATAGTACTGGGAAGGTTTCTAGCAAATAAAATTTTTGAAATAACTTTTCGCCTAGAAATAATCAAGATAAATATTCTAATTTATCTGTTATAATTCAACAATCTACTCTAAATATTATCATGATGATACATGATTTTGTAATGTAGAAAATTAGGAAAGACAAAATTCAGGATGACACGGCAATTTATTTGAGACAAGAATAATGATACAATTCAAAGGCAAGATACTATTCCTTTAACTTCCAATTACCGAGGGAACCAATTAATATTGATTTTATTCAACTTATCGAGTATTTTTCAAGGGACCGGAAAAAATGTTAACTTTATCGAGGAGGAGATTCGTTAGACAAACCTTTACTCAGGTAAAACCTGGGCGAAGCCGGGCGGGTCCGCTAGTATTATAATAAATTTCCTTTTTTTAATAAGATGGTATTTTAAATATTTATCTAGTATCAAAATATTCTTCTGTAGATCAATTTACCTGTTAGGGTATATTCTTACTTGACTACATTTAAAATCATGACATTTATTTCATAACAGAATGGAAAATTATTACATATTAAGCTATTTTACATTGATAGAAATTAAAAACAACATTTAAACATACTAATAGCAACAAATTCTACAAAACTACTTAAGCAAAATAAACGAGAGTTCTAAAAAAGCAAATACAATGTTGCTGAATATAATTAAACATAAAAACTATTCATAGAAATATATATCCAAATATATTTTGACAATATGTACAGAAGCCATTGGCGGAAACATTTCCCTCCTTATCTGTCCAACCACTTCTGAGAGTCATTACCAGTGTTCTTCAAGTTGTTCTGTCATGAAGATTTCCTTTATATGATGTTCATGTCTGGAGATGGAGAGTCTTTTGGTCAATATATCTGCTTCTATAGTTTTGGATGGTTTATAGAGGGGTGTTATCATTTTTGACTGGAATTCTTCTTTTACAAAATACAATTTTCTATTAAAATGTCGACTTTTCAATCCTTGTATTAGGTTTTTCAGCCATGCTATTGTCGCGTTCCCGCTTTTAGACCGATAGGAACGGAGCATGTAAGGAGTGACCTAGTAAAATTTCCTTCTTAAGATATACAAGTGTGACATAGGAATAGGCAAATATATATATAGGACCTATACAGCTAAGGCTATACTTGAGGAGATGGAGTATCAGATAATATACAAGGTACAGAAGGACTTGAGAATTGCAGCTCCAAGAAAAAAAAAAAAAAACTTTCAACCACGCCTGGCGTGGGTGGAATTCCCCAAGAGAGGCCCAGCGTCAGGGAGGGGGGCCCGTTGACAGGTCCTTCCTGGAATGTATATAGAGCGTCGGGGTCTCTGGGACTAACGAAGTCTCTGGAATGTGGGAGTCCAACGTCCATTCTCCCCCGCCCTCCTTCTTCTTCCATGAAAGAGAAAATGGCGGCCCCTTCCCCTGCCTCCCTCGTTGTCTCAACTATCCCTTTAAGAGATTTCTGGGATAACCACACCTTCTGGCGATTTAGCAACCCACTGAAGACGCTGGGAGCTATTTCATTGAGGAAAATTATAGCAATAGATCTATAATTTCTACAGATCAACTGTAAATAGATTCATATTAAGGCATTTTTATAACCCAAATAACACAAACAATAGTCAAACATACAAATCTATTTGCATCATACCGTACCCTCCTAACAGCGTAACAATAGCCCGAGGAATTAGGAAATATGGTATAAAGACATATTACGAAAACACACCCAACATAGGCGCAATAGTCAGAAATCCCATAACTAAAAAAGAGAAAAAAAAAACAATAGCCATAACTCACCAATATACAAACGTCAAGCAATATACTCAATAGAATGCAACCAATGCAATAGTATGTACATAGGCGAAACCGGCAGACAAGTAATAGATAGAATGAATAAGCACATCAGATCCATAAATAGAAAGGATAGAAAAATTCCCTTTTATTCCAACACATTCAAAATACAGGTCACACCTTCAACCTAAGTAACCCAAAAACCTTTTATACCAATATAAACAACGGGCAGAAAAGACTATGCTTAGAAGCCTTTTATCATTAAAACACGCCAGCATCAATAGGCACATTGAAATTCCAGAATCATACACAGAACTCATAACTAGCAATTAAACGTACACTTCCCCATATTTAATACAGTAACTCTTGTTTCATAACCCTGTTCCATAGCTAATTCAAATTTCATAAGTTAAATTATTATATAATAGTTTTTACCTTAATTTAGAAATACGTAAATAGTCTGGATACTTAGCATATATCAAGAAGTTAATAGTTCTTTTATGAAAAAATTTGTAAAGATGTAAATATATTAGGTAAATATATAGCAGCTTCTAACGATTCACCACCATCGCGTTGTTCCTGTAGAAGGACCACCATACCCGAAAGCTAGAGCCTTATTAAGCGGTTTAAAAAAAAAAACGCAACCTCGGAGTTTTATTATTTGTCATAAAGATTTCGCAGAGGTTAAGATATTGGAATTAGGTTACTATCTGGATATATATGGGAGGGACCCTACTTGTAAAGATTATACCAAAATCTAACAAGTAAGCTATGAAGACAAGCAAACTATAGACTTAATATTATTGACGATGACATTTGTAATATTTTTTTTTTAAACAAAAGGGTTTACAATAAAATCATAAAGAGAACAATCTAGGAGTATAGGCGACATGGGTCTTATTAGATTTAAATCAAGAGATGGTATAATGGTAAATATGATGGAATAACTCACTGAAACACAGACAAGAGAACAGGCTCCTATGGCAGGCACGTTCGGCAGTGTATGTTGGCCAGTAATTATTAGAAGACTTGATTATTAGTAACATTCCCTCCAAATAAATAAGAATCATACTATATTTCGCTTTAAACAGTGAAAGAAAGGACAAATTCTTCACATTAGGATACAAATATTACTAAAACCTGACATAGAGATACCCTCAAGGCAGCCCTAATAAAGTCGTATTTTGCAACTGTTGATGTGTCAACATATCACAGCAAAGACATAGTACACTACTCTATTCCATCAGAGTCGGTAGTCTATATTCAGTACAATTTGTGATAATAGGGTGTGGGGGTAGTACCATAAAACAAGAGAATGAAAAATGTATGAGGGGAAACAAAACTCTCCATATAAGTTGTATACTAGATATTTATTCGGATTAGGCGAGATTTTTGGGGACATTTTATACTGGCGAGACATGCTCTTTACATAATGATCTAGGTAGAGGTGACTTAAGGTTACAAATTCTTCTTTATATAGGGGAAAACATAGATCTCCATCTATTCTAGCGGGACAAGATATATGAACCCTTAAAGCCCTTTAGGGCCCATTCAAAATCTAAATAGTTTAGTTTCTATTTGAAAAATAAAAGGGCCCCCATAATGGCGGGGGCTTACCTTCTCTCGAAAGCGGCGGCAAGGTCTGGTCTCATCTACGTCTCACGACTGGCGGAATCTCTCCTGTCACTGAGCGACTCTGTGTATCTCTCCTTTTTAGCCAAGAAAAACCTCCTTTTATCCTTGCCTCTCTTCATTTTCATTCGCTGATCATGCCAAAGTTTTTATTGGCTGGCATTTTCATTCGTCGAGAGCAAACACGCACGTGATCATGACCACGCCCCCAATTTACCGTGCTGCCGCGCGGGAAAAATTGTATATATATATTGAAAAACAAATTAATTTCTTTAGTAAATTAAATGATATATATATCCCGAGTATATAAAAGAAAAGGTTATTGATTTAATGTTTATATGACAAATTGTTTTCCTTTGGTCACCTCTAACTAAATGAAGGGAATATATGTACATATGGTACAGCAGCTCCCAGCACGGATGTCTCTGGATGTCACCCATGTCTTCCTCCCCACCAGGCATCAGCTTTCGGCATGGAAGTCTGGTGTCCTCAAGTGTCTAGTTTTGTTTGTACATGTGCTCTTTGTACATCCTTCGTTTCGGCCCTTCCGCAGCGGGTTTTGGGTCTTTAGAGCATCGTCGGCCATCGTTGGGAGTTCTCCACCTAGGCAACAAACACTTCGGCGAGACACTGTGTATATATTTATATGATCTAAGTGTTTACATCTTTGTTGGGTCTTGTTTGGTGGAAAATCTGACCCAACACTATCAGGGATTGGCTATCTGTATATACTTGAATTGACTTTTGAGTTTTGAATCCATGATCATCCAGAAGATTATCATACCATTTAACATCACAAACTCTTTCACAAAAAGCTAATAACTCAGCCTCCATTGTGTACATTGCAACCATTATTTGTTTGTTGCATTTACAATTAACTATATTGTTGCCAATTTTAATAAAGTGTCCACCAAATGATTTGGCATCTTTCGCAGTGCACCAGCTGGCATCTGATATGGCAGTTTATTGTTCTGATCCTTCACTGAATTTTCGTTTTATATTTCTTGTTGTTAAGTACCTCAAAGTGGGTTAACGAAAAGAAAAATCTTAATACAACAATATTGTTGGGTCCATTTCTATCGTGGTGAAGTATACAATCATTACTTCTACGGTTTGAATAACATACACCTCATTCTGATGCGCTTTAAGAGGATTTATGATCATATTAAGTTATCGATAAAATAGCAAAACACATTCAATGACAAGTATATTATAACACAACGTTAATTCAGTTTCCAGTATGACGAGATATACACCACTACACATACAAATTCGAACGCTATATATATATATACATACACAATAAAATAAAGGGAATGAAATTGACTTAAATGTTAACATGTGTTATATATATATGGGCATATGTAATTGTTTATTGGTAGAACTGACCATGGAAGTACCATTGTATGTCTAGTCTGGTATAAAGCACAATAAATTCAAATTGATAAAAAGAAATATATGTGAGAAATTTTATTATATCTTTAGCGGCTCCCAAATATTAACTTTTCATATTTTCATTATGAGTTTTAATTTGTTGAATAACCATTCAATTCAAATATTAAAAGGATATGTAAAATAACATTAACTTGTGATGATGATATATTCAATCACTGAATAACCTAACACATCTTATAAATATATAATGCTTATAAAATATACTTTATTAAAATTATATATGAAAATTAACATTAATATCATATTAATTGTTGTCATATCAATATAATAAAATAATTATACATCATTCTAAATATAAATCTTAAATCATATAAAATGTAAGTATTTATCTATAATATATCAAACAAATATGTCTAACATTATATAATATAGAAATGATATTTGACCACAGACATAGATACAAAAAAGAACTTTAACATGTAGTATACAACAATGCAACCCCTTCTGATAATTTGTATTAAATAAATGTAATTAAAAGTTTATTTTACAATAAATAATTTGTTATCTGACTCCGCCTAGAATTCCATGCCGCCCACAAAATGGTGAGCCCTATTATATAAACTAACATTTGCAAGCAATCAAACAATAATTTCAATTCGATCAAAAGTGAAAAATAAAATTATTCATAATATCAAATTATAAATATTTAAGAAATACATATTAAATATTTATATTTAAAACAAAAATTATAACATATTTTGCAATATTTAAAAACTACGAAAACTGTTGTTTATGTTGTTCTTTGTGCCTATTTGATCACGCAGAATGCAACTGACCTAAGTATTTATTTATTAACTTATCTTTTTATAACATGGTTATATATCTAAGAATTTTTACCAGTCGAGTCTGCCGTGTTGCTGGATCAATCATAACATGTTTCCTTTAAACAAAAATAAAAAAGGATTGCAGTTCTCCTAGTCTCTATAACGCAAAGGTTTTCTCACTGTTCTACCACTGCGGGTTCGCACACTAGGAGAAGTAGATGATTCTTCACCTTTCTTGGCAACGTCGTTCCTTGGATCATATGCTCTTCTGTTTTCGGAAGTGGGTCTTCCATGATCTTGTATGTTGCCATCCATGGCTGTCCCTGCTTGAGATCCAGGAATGCTTGGACTTTGAATTGTTGGGGCAGAATCTTCTACACTGAACTTTCTCGGTCTAAGGTGAGACCTGTTCCTGCGGTATTCAGAATACTTGGTGTTTTCACCATATATGAGCGTGGAGTTTCATGCTTTGCGGTCACTGTTGCCGGAACCCATTTTCTATGCCTTTCCTGCAACATGATGTTGTTTCTCTTTGGACTTCCTGCATACTTTTGTTGATGGTCTCTCAATTTTTGGTAATTCTTTGTTGTGTCAAACAGTGGTTTCAACTGTTGTCGGGTGTATGTCAAAAGAGTTCTCACAGATCTTCCCATAAGCATTTGGGTCGGAGATGGCAAGTCATACTTAGGTGTGTTGTTGAACTCCATCAAAGCCAGATTGGGATCTCTTCCTGACTTCACAGCTTTAATTATCAGTCCTTTGATGGTTTGAATTGTCCTCTCAACTTGTCCATTAGATCTTGGATATTTGGGACTGGAGTTTTGGTGTTTGAATTCATATTTCTGAGCAAAATTTTTGAATCCAGTAGAGTTAAAAGGGGGTCCATTATCCGAAACTAGAGTCCTTGGAATTCCATGAGTCCTGAAAATGGTTTTCAACTGCATGATGGTTTCGGTTTCTCTTTTGCTTGATAATTTCCGGATTTCAACAAACTTTGAGTGGTAATCGACAACCAAGATGGAACTGGTTCCACTCACCTCCATGAAATCTACAGCAATTTTTTCCCATGGAAATTCAGGGATTTCATGAGCTATTCTCGACTCCTCAGGATTCTTTCTTGAATATTCCTGACATGTTCTGCACTTTCCACTTCATTTTCTACTTGTGTTATCATGCCTGGCCAGTAAAATGCAGATCTTGCTTTTTCTTTGGAAGCTGCTATGCCCTGGTGTGATGAATGAACAACCTGCAGGATTTCTTTTCGAAGAGTCGATGGCACCATGATGCAATTTCCTTTGTAAACAATTCCGTCACTCACATGAATTTCATCTTGAAATTGCCAGTAGGGTTTTGCTTCATCACAGACCTTAGTTTTATATTTCGGCCATCCATTCTTCGCATACTCTATTAGATGTATCAAGGTGTGGTCCCCATGAGTTTCCTTTTGCAGTCTCTTTATTTTTTCATCTGTGGTAACCAGCAACATGTGCACTGATTCAGTTTGACCTTCTAAATAGCTTGTGTCCACCTCATCTTTTAATGGATCTCTAGACAGATGGTCAGCTACAAACATGTTTTTCCCTGGTGTAAACTTCAAAGATATTTGAAATCTCATCAGACGTAAGACCATTCTTTGTAGTCTTGGGGAAAGCTTTTCTAAAGGTTTCTTAACAATACTCAGGAGAGGTTTGTGGTCAGTTTCCACAATAACATCATTTCCCCAAACATAGTACTGGAAGCGTTCACATCCAAAGACTATAGCCAAAAGTTCTTTCTCTATCTGTGCGTATTTTCTTTGAGTTGCATTCAGGCTGAAGGACGCATACTCAATTGCATGTCCCCTTTGCATGAGCACTGTACCAATACCATATTGGCTTGCATCAGATGAAATGGTGATTGGCTTGGTTGGGTCAAAAAATGTCAATATTGGAGCATTCGAAACCATATCCTTGAGTTTTTCAAAACAATCATTTTCTTCGCCTCCAAATTTCCATTCACTCTTGTTGCTTATCAATTTCCTTAGAGGTGCAGTCTTGTCAGAAAGATTAGGAATGAATTTGCCAAGGTACGTCACCATACCTAAGAATCTTTGGGCTTCAGTCTTGTTCTCAGGTCTTTTCAACTTTTGTATTGCCTCTGCTCTTGAAGCTTGAATGGCTATTCTATCTCGACTGATTATATGGCCTAAGAAATTTACTTTGTCGACAGCTATCTGCTGCTTCTTGGCATTGAGCTTGATATTATTTTCTTCCAACCTTCGAAGAACTGTTTCAAGGTTTCGGTTGTGCTCTTCCATTGTGCTTCCATAGATCAAGATGTCATCCATATAGCAAGCAGTTCCCTGGAGACCTGAAAGAATATTGTTTATGCATCGCTGGAATACCTCCGATGCACTGTTCAATCCATAGGGAAGTCGCTTGAACCGGAATCTTCCAAAGGGAGTTGCAATGGTGCACAGGTTGGTGCTTTCTTTGTCTAATGGGACTTGCCAGAAAGCTGATGATGCATCAAATACAGAGAAAACTGTAGTACCTTTCAGTTCAGAAAATATTGTTTCAGCTGTTGGCAGAATATAGCGCTCTCTCTGAACATATTTGTTCAGTTTCCTGGGGTCCATGCAAATTCTGACATCCCCAGAAGATTTTTGTACCACTACAATAGGGTGTGTCCATTCGCTTGGTTCTTCAACTTTTTCAATAATGTCAAGTTTTTCCATCCGTTCCAATTCTGCTTTAACTTTTTCTCTAATGGAAAAAGGATTTTTTTCAGCTTGGAGCAATAACTGGAGTTGTATTTTCATTTAGTGTAATCTTGTGTTCAATTGGCAGTCTTCCTATGCCTTCAAATATATTTTTGTGCCTGTTCAAAATTTCTTTTGCTGAATTGTTCTGCTGTATTTGGACAGCATCACATTTCTTAATTAGTGAAAGCTTTTCAATAGCTTCTATTCCTAAAATTGGTTGATAGTATCCATCAGCAATGAAAAATTCTAGACTTTCCGTCTTATTTTTAGTTTTGCAATTTAGTGTGGCAAATCCTTTTATCTTGATTTCATGTCCTGTATATGATGTTAGCTTTCGGTTAGTCTGAAATATTTCCAAACCTTTCATTTGTCTGGTGAATGTGTATGGCAAAACATTTACTTCTGCTCCAGAGTCCAACTTGAAACATATTTCCTTTCCATTCACTATGATGGATTTTTTCCATTCCAAAGTATGGACTACTTTTGCTTCATGTATTGACCATACAGTTTCTTCTGTTTCATCATTCAGACTTCTGATAGCTGAACTTTTACAGAAAGCTGCAAAATGATTCATCTTTTTGCATTTGGAGCATCTTTCACCCCATGCAGGACAATTTTTTGCTCTGTGAGACTTCCCACACCTTTGGCATTTGAATTCTTTTTCAGATTCTTGATTTTGTTTTGGACTGTGTTTCTTTTCATATTTTCTTATTTGACAGATGTTCTGGTTGTTCTGCATGATCTTGATCTGTTGCTTGCTTATTTCATCTGTTTTGCACATTTCAATGGCTTTTAGAAGAGTTAAATTGGGCTCTCTTAAGAGGCGTTCCTGCAAAGCCTTGTCTTGTATTCCATACACAATGCGATCCCTAATTAAACTATCCTTTTGTGATTCAAATTCACATGATGTGGATAATCCTTTTAGTTCTGTTATAAAACTATCGATGGATTCACCATCCTTCTGGGTCGCTGAAAAAAATTTGAATCTTTCAAAAATGACGTTCTTTTTAGGCTCGCAAAAATCATCAAATTTGTTTATTACAAGATCGAAATTTTCTGCTTCATCTTCTTTTAAATGAAATGTGTTGAAAACTTCCAAGGCTTCTTCGCCAATAAAATTTAATAAAATGGCAACTTTCAGTTTATCAGGCTTTGTGGCTTTTTCTGTTGCTTCAAGATAAAGCATTAATCGCTGTTTGAACCTTCGCCAATTTTCCGCTACATTACCGTGCAAGGCGAGTTCGCTAGGCCTAACAAAGTCCATGCTTTATTTTTTTCACTAATATTTTTCAATAATATATTTATTTGAAAAAGTACTCACTTTTCCGCTGCCACCATGTTGTTTATGTTGTTCTTTGTGCCTATTTGATCACGCAGAATGCAACTGAGCTAAGTATTTATTTATTAACTTATCTTTTTATAACATGGTTATATATCTAAGAATGTTTACCAGTCGAGTCTGCCGTGTTGCCGGATCAATCATAACAAAAACGTACATCGTTTGGTATTTAATTCAAGGCAAATTTTCAACTTAAAAACAAATCAGATATCAAATATAGTTTTAAAAGAAATAAATATTAAATAAATTCAAATAACATTTAATTGGCAATCAAAAAATATATAGAAAACTTACAATTTAAAAATTATAACTTGATAATATATTCAAATATTTTTTCTTATCAAATAAAAAATTCTAATTCAAAATTATAATTCTTAATTTTAATAATTAAAATAATCTGAATTTTAATCTCTTAAGGATATATAATTTTTTCAATACAATATATTCTCAAAATGGATTCAATTAAAGCACCCGAATTTTGGCCAAACGATCCAGAATTGTGGTTCATAACATTGGAATCACAATTTTTATTGAACAAGCCAAGTCCAATTACAAATAATGACACCAAATTTTCTTATCTAATTTCACTTTTACCTCCATCAACTGCCATAGAGGTACGTGAATTCATTATGTCACCTCCACCAGACAATAAATACGACGCGCTAAAGAAGGTCATAATTAAATGTACCGCTGACAGCGAATTTAAAAAACTACAGCAATTGTTGACTCAAGAAGAACTTGGAGACAGCCTGCCTAGCCAATTATTACGCCGCTTAAAACAATTGGTTGGAGAAAGCAAAGTCGTCAATGACAAAACATTAAAAATACTCTGGATGCAACGTTTACCTAAAAACATCCAAATAATTCTGACAACGCAAGAGCAAGCATCAACAACAACAACAAAAAGCCTTTATTCAGGGTCACTGACCCTATACAGGATTCACCAGAGGTATGCATAAGAACAAAGCAGTGAGACAAAGGAAATAACGATATATACAGTGGAAAAAGAAAAAAAACAAGAAAGAGAAAGAGGGAAGCAAGAAAAACAACACAAAAAGAGTAGCAGTAAGAAAGTGAGGAGTGAGTGTCACTTGGCCTTCTTCTGAGATATGGACTTGTGGAAACCATAAAATGCCGTAGCAATATACTTATTCTGGGTCATATTGTCAATTATTGATAGAAGTGAAGCACAGAGTTGCCCAGTTTTGAGCACAAAGGTTCTTCATTCTTCTTTCAGAGCATAGCAATCAAAAATATAGTGAGTGATTTCATTTTTTAGTTTTAAATTACAGAAGGTACAAATCGGGTCCTCACCGCAGAGCATCTTGGTGTGGTTTTCTCTGAAAAAACTTGAAAGTATTCTAACTTGTGCGAGTAATCTTACAACCGGGAAAGGAAAATCCCCTAAAAGGTATCCCTCCGTTATGAAAGATATGTGAATGTCTTTGTAGTGAGAGTATAGCTTAGATTTATCCATTCTTGTAAGGTCGTTTTGTATAGATTGGTCCGCCGCTGTTTTTAAGAGCCCTGTAATCGCGCTCCTCAGCGTTTCAGGATCATTACAGGAAACAAGTGCAGGGGATCCATTATTGTTAAGCAGATTGGTGAGCTTTTTAATGAAACCGATGGAAGAGCAAGCATCACTAAACTCTCTAGCAGATTTAGCTGATCGAGTGATGGAGATTACTTCTTCCCCATCTTCAAGTACTTCGACTTTAGAAAAGGAACTGGCATCTTTGCGTGCGGAAATTTCAGCATTGAAAATTGACCTTAACAAGAAGGAAGAAATAATACCTCGTTCAAGATCCAGAAGCTCATCTTCATCTCGAAAATCTTCCCCAAACAGTTATAGAAAGTACAATCCAAATGGCTCTTGGTGCTGGTATCATTTTTGATTCAAGCACCATGCAAGAAAATGCATCTCACCTTGTACTTTCAACAAAAAAACAAAGAATAAGCAGGAAAACTCCAACAACAATCAGTAAGCCCGGTGGTTACTGATTGTAGCAATAATAAAAGCCACCGTCTATTTATCACTGACTACCACAACAAAATTAGTTTTCTCCTTGACACAGGTGCAGAGATCAGTGTCCTGCCTCCTCGTCCTGAAGATAGACGGCGTGGTTCAACAAAATTTATTCTCACAGCAGCAAACAATTCACCTATCAAGACTTATGGCGAAAGATTCCTTAATATTGATCTAGGTCTTCGTAGAGATTTCAAATGGAGATTCATAATAGCAGACACAAACAAAGCCATTCTAGGAGCTGATTTTATGGAACACTTTGGAATAATCCCAGATATCAAAGGAAAGTTTATAATTGATTCTTTAACGAAACTACGCAAGCCTGGATCAATTACAAATTTCAACTCACTTTCTCCGAAGTGCTCAATAAACAACTATGAAGATAAATTTTTGAACATTCTCTCTCATTATCCCTCTCTAACTAAGCCTCCGTCATATTCCACACCAGTCAAGCATTCAGTCACTCATCATATTACTACAAAAGGGCAACCAACATTCTCCAAACCAAGACGGCTGAATCCAGAAAAATTTAAAATTGCCAAATCAGAATTTGAGCACATGATGGAACTAGGTTTATGCAAAAGAGGAGACGGAGCATGGGCATCACCTTTACATCTAGTCCCTAAGAAAAATTCTATAAACTGGAGACCATGTGGCGACTACAGAAGTCTAAATGCTGTGACCCAACCTGATTGTTACCCCATTTCGCACATTCAGGATTTCACCCAAAGCCTTCATGGCTGTACAATTTTCAGCAAAATAGATCTCGTGAAGGCGCGTACCACCATATTCCAATTAACCAAGAAGACATACCCAAAACGGCAATAACTACGCCATTTGGTCTATTTGAATTCACACGCATGAACTTTGGTTTAAAAAACGCAAGCCAAACATTTCAAAGATTCATGGATGAAGTAACAAAAGGTCTAGATTTTGTCTTCGTTTACATTGATGACGTTTTGATCGCCAGTAAAAATGAAAATGATCCCATTCAACATCTACATACAATCTTCAAAAGACTTTCCGATTATGGATTAACAGTCAATATATCTAAAAGCGTTTTCGGAAAACCTTCACTAGAATTTCTTGGACACATCATTGACAACAAAGGAATAAAACCTCTTCCTGAGAAAATAAGAATCGTTAAAGATTTTCCTCAACCTAATTCGACACGTCAACTCCAAAGATTTATTGGTCTTGTAAATTTTTATCACAGGTTCATAAAAAATTCAAGTCATATTTTAGCTCCGCTTTATTCACTTTTAAAAACTAAATCTCCCAATGCATCATTAAATTGGGGGGGGGGGGGGGGGAGACTTCAGACACATTAGAAGCTTTTCAAAACATCAAAAATGCTCTTGCAGAAAACACACTTTTAAACTACCCTCAACCCAATTCTACATTAAGTGTACTGGTTGATGCCTCCAATGTTGCTGTTGGTGGTGTCCTCCAACAACTGAATGACACTGCATGGGAACCAATTTCTTTTTTTTTTTTCAAAAAAGCTATCCCCAGCAGAAACGAAATACTCAGCATTCGACCGGGAACTCCTAGCTGCATTCCTCTCTGTTAAGCATTTCTCATACTTTCTTGATGGAAAAACATTCATGCTTTTTACAGACCACAAGCCTCTAACGTATGCCTTCACATCAAAATCTGAACGTTCACCTCGTCAAGAACGTCATCTCAACTATCTTTCACAATTCTCCATGGACATACGCTATATTAAGGGAAGTGAAAACATTGTAGCTGATACCCTTTCAAGAATTGAAATCGAAACTTTCAATCACACGAAGGTTAATCTAGATCTTAATGCATTCCCTGAAATTCAAGAAAAAAAAAAGGACAAAGAACTAAAAACTCTCATTGATAATTCAAATTCTTCACAAACAATCAAATTAATAAAACAACAAGTTCCTTTTTGCAATAAATTAATTTACTGCGATGTTTCTACGGGGAATCCCAGACCTTTCGTGCCTGAAAATTTCCGACGCCAAATTTTCAATTCTCTCCATAATTTGTCTCATCCAGGAATTCGTGCAACAAGAAAACTAATAACTCAAAAATACTTTTGGCCCAAAATGAATCAAACAATAAATCATTGGTCAAAATCCTGTTTAGATTGTCAGAAAAGCAAAATTCACAGGCATTCAATTACCAAACACGGAATTTTTCCTCTCCCATCAACTCGCTTTGAACACGTTCATTTTGATTTAATAGGCCCCTTACCCCTTTCTGAAAATTGTACCCACATTTTGACTGCTATAGACAGATATTCAAAATGGCCGGAAGCCTTTCCGATTTCGGACAAAACTGCAATAAGCGTAGCAAAAGCTTTTTTTCGCGGTTGGATTTCTAGATACGAAGTTCCAGCAACAATAACTACTGACCAAGGTCGTGAATTTGAATCTCATCTTTTCAAGGATCTCACTTCACTCATTGGCACCAACAGAATACGAACAACGGCATACAACCCTGCAGCAAACGGCCTTGTCGAACGCTTGCATCGTCAAATTAAAGCTGCAATCATGGCAAGCGGAAATACTATTAATTGGATAGATGCTTTGCCTCTAGTACTGCTAGGCATCAGAACATCCTACAAAGAAGACCTGAAGTGCACAGCTGCAGAAATGGTTTTCGGGACAACTTTAAATCTTCCAGCTGATTTACTAACCAATTCAGAATTTAAAAACCCGAACCATCAAATTTTGCCACTCAATTAAAAAATTATATGAGTAGAATTCGACCTCAACCAACAAGACGAACAAACCAAAACAATATTTTTTCTCATAAAGACTTAGAAACCTGCTCACACGTCTTTATAAGAAAAGATTTTGTAAAAAGAGCATTATCTCCACCATACGAAGGTCCATTTCCAGTGGTGTCAAGATCTTCAAAGACATTTACAGTTAAAATCAATGACCAAAACAAAGTCATTTCTGTCAACAGACTAAAGCCTGCATTCATAGAAAACACCCTTCAAAGTTTCCACGATTCTTCAATTCTGCCACCTATGCCCGACGGTGCTGAGGAAACTACACCGAAGACAAGTAGCTACACCACTCGCTATGGACGCCACATACGTTTCCGACTTTAAGTCTTCACTGGCGGGGGAGTGATGTAGCGGCTCCCAAATATTAACTTTTCATATTTTCATTATAAGTTTTAATTTTTGTTTAATAACCATTCAATTCAAATATTAAATTATTCATCTTATAAATATATAATGCTTATAAAATATACTTTATTAAAAAATTATATGAATTAACATTAATATCATATTAATTGTTGTCATATCAATATAATAAAATAATTATACATCATTCTAAATATAAATCATAAATCATATAAAATGTAAATATTTATCTATAATGTATCAAACACATATGTCTAACATTATATAATCTAGAAATGATATTTGACCACAGACATAGATACAAAAAAGAAATTCAACATGTAGTATACAACAATGCAACCACTTCTGATAATTTGTATTAAATAAATGTAATTAAAAGTTTATTTTACAATATATAATTTGTTATCTGACTCCGCGCCTAGAATTCCATGCCGCCCACATATCTAAAAATTATCTATATTATGAGACAAAAGGAAAAGATTATATAATGGTGAGAGATCTCTATCTATTCAAGCGAAACCTCTACTTCAAAATTTACTGATGTATAAAAACGATAATAACCAAATTTTTTATTTGGAATATACTATACATAGCGGGAATCATGATTTTATAAAATAACTCGGCACATCATGCTAAAAAAAATAGATAACAAAACTTGTTAAATACGATAAGAAACCTCTTCTATTTTGTAATCAGGCCTTTTGACCCACACAAACAAATTTATAGGGTAGTTGACTTACCATTTAGTTA